GAAGAAGAGAAACCAAGCTTGACTGTGGTTACCATGGGTGAGGAGGAAGAGGTTTCACTTAGGGGATGTTGTGTTTATTTTAGTGGTGGTAGAACAATTTGGAGAGGGGCCTGGTTGTACAATATGAAGAGTATAGTAAATCACACCGAATTATACATGTAGAAGTTGTTGAATTGGAGGATTTTTTGTTGTGTCTACTGCAGGGTACCTAGACATAGACAACCAGAAAAAGCTCCATTGGGTGGAGCTTTCTTAGTACACACTTTTCCTGCTAAGCGAGCATCCAGCAACTCTCTCTGAGTTAGTGCACCCAGTGGAGTTGCTGGGAAGGTTCTCTCTGGTCACAATGAATTTTTTCATAAAGCAGTTTTGCTCATTTTTTGTGATGATGGCCGATTTATGAGAACAGCGAGTGGCTGTGAATTTTTGTTTTCTGCTTGGGAGAAATGCAGACACTGTTGAGATGTTGAATACAGCTCACAAGGACAACTTCCCCAAGGGACAAAAATGTCGACTCGTTGTGCATTTGGAGTTCATTCCACCAGGTCAGATTGTTAATCAAGCTTTCTATTTAGAAGTACAGAAAAGATTGGGTAGCAGTGTGCAACAACAAAAAAAAGGCCTGATTTGTGGCAGACGGGACTAGTTTTGCCACCACAACAATGCACATGCTCATGAAGCCATCTCAGTGTGCCAGTTTTTGGGCAAAACCCCCCCAAAAACAGCATGCCTCATTTGCCCCCCCCACATTACTCACCTAACCTCACTACATGCAACTTCTTTTTGTTTCTTCAAATGAAGAGGTACATGAAAGGACAGTGATTTGATGACATAGAAGAGGTGAAGAAAGAAACGAAGTTCTATCAGCCATCCAAAGAGATGAGTTTGAAAAATGTTTCCAAGAATGGAGTCACGGATTTAACAAATGTATTAAGTGTAACGAAGAGTACTTTGAAGGTGATAAGGTTTTATAAAAAAAATTTAAAATATATACCTTCGAAAAAATTTTTCTGTGTTTTTGCAGGTACCCCCTCATACTTTTGCCAAATTTGAAAAATCAAAACAATAATAACAACTAGTTCAAGGAAAAAAAGATTCCAAAATTGTTTATGGTAAAGAATGTACAACTCATTTTGATAAGATTGAACTATCAAATTGTATGATAGGTGGATGAAGTACCAATAAAATTGTTAATACATAAATATAGAGAACAAAGTAAGAAAAATAACAGCAAAATAGATAAGTGAGACGTCATAAAATTTAGAAAAAATGCTCATGAATATACCTTACTGAAAATGTGAAAAGACAATCTACTGACTGGGAGAATGTCTTTGGAAATCATATATCCAGCAAAAATCTCATGATCAAAAAATACATGAAAATTTGACAACTCAACAACAGAAAGATAAATAATCATGAAATGTGCAAGAGACTGGAAAATGCATTTCTCTAGAGGGCATTCAAATGGCCACCAGACACACGAGAGGATGCTTCGTGTCACTGGTCATCAAAAAGATCCAAATCAAAACCAGAATGAGGTATAATTTCCCTTCTGCCAGGGCAGTAAGGGATCCCTGCTGGGCTGCTGTCTGCAAGGTCAGCAGGTTGAACCCACCAGTTATTCCATGGGAGAAAGGAGAAAGAAAGGGCTTTGTGCGCCCACCAAGAGTTCCAGTCTCAGAAACACATGGGGGGAGGGT